CAACAAACAAATACATAAACAACAACAATAAACAACAACGTCCTATTAATATATATATATATATATATATATATTCAACCTCTTGCTCCTCGTCGTCCCAGAGCAGTCTGTGTGTAGTCAATTGGAGTACCCCACTTTCAAAATCAGTCTAAGATAATTATAAATTAATAATAATTATAAAGACACGTTACTAGCTATTATCCTTACTCTGTCCTCTCCATCATACAGCCTCACACCTCCTACTTGAGATACAGACTTCTCTCCTGGTAAGAAAGACCCTATGCCACTCCAGTAGGACCTATTCATTTGTACTGCAAATACTCTTTGCAAAAATACAGATTACAAAGAGTTAAAAATTTTCGCAGCAATTTGTACTGCGCATGCGCAAAATTTAAAAAAATGGCGTCTAATGAGGAGAATCCTTTCCAAAAGTTGCTAGAATGCCTGCCACCTGACGAATGGAGCAATATAAGAGGAGGCTGGAAGGAGAGGCTGAAGCAGAGAGGAGAGAGGAGCAGTGTATCTGTACAATCGATTAAGGCTACCACTAAGCAGCAAACAGTCTTTGATGAAACTGGTTAGATTACAATGCTTACCCTCCCCTTTAATTTCATTCTCTCTCTCTCTCAGGCTATCCTGTTATAACTCCTTTGAAATCATTAGAAGCTGCCCTCAACTGGTTCCCTGGTTATGATGATGCATGCATTGCTAGTGTGCCATTGATGAAGAGAACAATAGACCCATTCTCTTCTCCTAATGTCATCATATGCCACGATATGATGGGAGGGTATACCAACGACAAATATGTACAAGTAATAATATGCTAATGATATACAGTAATATACTAATAATATGCTAATAATATACGAATAATATACAGTAGTATACTGATAATATACAGTATGGTTATAGGGTTGTGCTCCTGATTCCGATTATTATTTCTACCACTGGCAGCACGTCAGTTCCTTTATTTACTTCTCGCACAATTTTGTGACAATACCACCACCATCTTGGACCAACGCTGGTGAGAGAAAGAGACAGAGTAGTTGGAATTTATTATCATTTTAGCATCAATAATTATTTTTTATTTCTTTGCAGCTCACAGAAATGGAGTGCTCAGTTTGGGGACTATAATAACAGAGTGGAAGGAGGGCTCAATCTTGTGCATGAAGCTATTGTCTGATGAGAGAATTGTTGAGGCTTTTGTCGATAAATTAATTCAATTGGCAGTGTATTATAATTTTGACGGATGGCTCATTAATATTGAGAATAACATTCAAGTATATATAATGTTAATAATACTAATTGATAATAATATAAAATAGCTTTTAAACTATTATAATAAAACCAACAAATATAATGACTAATAATAATAATAATAATAATAATAATAATAATAATAATAATAATAACAAAAAACGACAATAACAAAAATAATAACATTTATGTATTATTATTATTATTATTATTATATTGATGTATTTTTCAGGAACATCAATTAGATAATTTGTTGATATTGCTGACACTCCTAACTACTGGTCTTCATACAGCAGTCCCTGGGTCTAAGGTCTTATGGTATGATAGCGTCATGTCCAACGGCCAACTCCAATGGCAAAACAAATTGAACCACTTGAACAAGTATGGATTTGTTAATATTGTATGGGTACAAATGTGGTGTTAAATTTTCACCATTTTTGGGAAATATTAAATTCAGTGTGATGTTTTCTTTCTTTAAAGCCATTAAAAAGTGGTCATATAAAGAAAGTGGTCATATAAATAAAGTTTTGTGGGGTTAAATAGTGAAAATTAAGCCCCACGGAATTTTATACCCGTATGGTATTGTGAAATTAAGACACTCTTTTTAGGCAATATTTTGATTTATGCGACGGAATATTCCTCAATTATCACTGGACCATGGCTGACCTGAAGGACTCACATTCTCTCGCTAGTCACAGAAACTCGGATGTGTTTGTTGGCATCGACGTCTTTGGGCGTGGCTGCTTTGGGGACGGGGGATACAATTCTAACATGGTACGTATTTTTTTGTAGGTGTGGTCAATAGGTGTGGTCTTTGTAGGCGTTAGAAGTGATAATGAAGAGCGGACTATCTTGCGCCTTGTTTGCTCCAGGCTGGGTCTACGAGAATAATTCAAAGCATCAGTTTTTTGATAATAATGACAAGTAATGTATTATAGTAGTGACCATTGTGCTCTGAATTACTTTCTCCCTCTCTCTTTTATTTTTCTTTTAGATTTTGGTCGCTTCTTTCTCCATATTGTCCCCTTTACAGTTATTCTTCTCTCCCTCTCTCCTTCTCTTTTTCCAGAGGGAACGGTCGCTCGCTTTCCATCAATGGCCAAGTGTGTATTCTCAATACTGTATAGCGGGAAATTTTGGAGGGACTAGATTTTGGTGATTGGCAAATTTTAATTTGGCAAATTAGTGGCCGCGTGCCATTGAGCATGCGTATAATGGCTCAAAATGGCGGATTTTATTTTGGCGAATGGCTATCAAAGCGCCAAATTTGCCAAATTTAATTCTCTCCAAAATAACCCGCTATACGGGTACACATGATCATGGCTATACCAATTTAGCTCTTTCCTATAGGCCATATATGATGGAGTTTGGTCTAATATTTCAGCTCAGACTAACCAACTGAGTTTTAGCGACAAATTATTTCAGAAGGACGGAGAGGTAAATGACAATTTTGTTGTTGTTATTATTGTTGTTATTATTATTATTAATAGTGTTCTGTATCAATAAATGTCGTTAAAATTAGAGACGACAGAATGGCTTTTAATAACGGCAGTTGTCTTTCTATTGAGGGAGAATGTAGGCGTGATAACCACACCCCCGCAATCATTAGGTAATTACTTTAAAATTAATTAATAATTTAAAAAATTTATTTATAGGTTATTTAAAATGGATATAGATTTTTCCGGTTTATTGCTCATTAGTTATTCATATTATTCGAGTAGTGATTCATTAATTAACTTATTAAGGTTAAGGACTGACGGACCAATCAAATTCATTGCGCTTGACACAATGATGTCATCATCTCAACAAAGTATGATCACATGATTGTCACATGACGTAACCACACCCACTCTAGTGTTGTGCAATGATGACGGACTACCAATATCGCCAGCTTGTGAGACGCTATTACCTTTTATGGTAGACGGGAGATCTTATAAAAGAATATTGAGTATATCTGAAGAAGCCTCATTAATTATTCATTCATTGGTTACTGGTAGCGTAATTAATAATGATAAATGGAGCACCAGGTAGAGTACATGTATAATATACATCATATATACAGCAATATGTATGATCAATTTATTTATTTATTAATTAGATATTTTGTTGTTGATGCTAAGGAGATTGGACCTATTAGAGGAGTTAGTCTTTGTATTCAAGGTAGTGAGTCTATTGGTCAGTCTAAAATTAACTTATTGATTGGAGAAATAAAGGTTAGAGCAATTTATTTTATTTAAAAATTATTTATTTTTTATTTCGTATATTTTATTTATTTTTGTGTAGTGTATATTTCATTTATTTTTGTCTAGTTTCTTCCTTTCTCTGATGTCATGGCTCCTCAATTGCCAATGGTTGCTGACATTAAAGTTGAAAGGCTCTTGTCCATTGCTCCTCTAAGTATCACGCTTTATTGGAGTGGCAATGATAATATTGATTTTTGTAATATTTATTATTATTTTTCTTCAATTTTCAAGCCTGTTTTTATCGGTAGGACTTTCACTAATAGATTTACTGTTAGTAAATTAATTATTAATGATAGTGATAATGTTACTTTTATTGTTCAGTCTGTAACTAACAGTGGGCTCTGCTCATCTCTTCCCAATTCTCCCTGTATAACCATTTCATTTTAGTTTTTCTATTAATAATTTATTTAATTTCCAAAATTTAATTCAAAAAGTGAAACGTGACACTAGACACACAATAACAAAATAATTAAGAGTAAATATTGTTTATTATTATTACTATTATATTGTTGTTTTTAATTATGACAATTATTCCTAGCACCCCTCATCTGTGATTTATTATCTTTTTAATTGATTAAAGGTGTTGTAGTTGGTTCAGTGTCCATGCAGCTAATGAAGATCATGAGGACTAAAGGTACTAGATATACTGGAGAGGAAGGTATTGTAAACACAAAAAATATGGTATATGGTGTAATGGTAATGATGGTACTAAAGTGGTGTAAGGTAGATAGATGGTGGTAAGGTGGTAGGATAGGTATGATGGTATAATGCATATAATGGTAATAATTATGGTAGTAATAGGTGTATTAGTGATGGTGTTTAAGATGTGATATCTTGTCTTTGTATGTCAGTCTGTTGTTGTTGTTCATGTTTCTCTCGATGAGTTTCCTTCATCCTCTTTTCTTCCTCCATCATATCAAATATCATATCATCATAAACCTTTTGAAGATATTTAACTACTGACGAATCAGGGTTAACTGATTGAGCTATATCAATATCATGTGGACGAGGTTTTATACTAAATACGTCAACTAAAAACCGAACAAGCTCTAAATTAGAACTTTTACTAGCAAAATAAAGTAGAGTTTTCTTGTCATGGGTTTCAGCTAGTGCATTACAGCAAAGCTCTGTGAGAAATTGTAGAATTAAGTCAAAGTTACCAGCTTCACATGCTGCATGAACTGAAGTGTATCCATTATTATCAGGATCATCAGGATTATAGTGACAACTATTAATGAGATACAGTGCCATCTCATTACGATTGAAGAGACATGCGTAATGAAGAGGAGTACGACCATTATCATCACAAGGGATGTAGCTAGAAACTATTTGATCCTTTATAAACTGAAGTATTGTAGTATTGCCTCTTTCTGCCAATATGTGCATGCAAGTAATGCCATCCTTATCACTTGCTTCAGGGTCTAGTCCACAGTTGTAAATTACAAGTTGTACTAATTCCATATTCTCATTCTCACATGCTACATGAAGTATAGTGCGCTTTCTATTATCCAAAGTATTAATGCCATCAGGATAAATACTACAGAAGTGAAGAAATGTGTCGATATGGCCATTACTGCAAGCTATATGAAATACAGTGGATCCTTCATTATCAGTAGCTGTAAGGAGATCATGATGAGTAGAACTACCAGTGACTGAGGACAGTAAAGCTTCAGCAGTATCCTTATGACCAGAGGCAACTGCTAAGTGTAATGGTGTCTGTCCTTTCTTGTTAGTAATTAATAAGTTATTGTTAGACAGACTGGCTTTTAGTAATAGTGATACCATATTCTGTCGTCCACGTTGACAGGCTACATGTAATGGTGTATTACCATCTTTATCTTGCTCATTATTAAGTACAGGACTGTCCAATAAACACTTTATCTCACGTAACCAGACAATACTCATTGAGGGTATACTCTTACTCAGTAAATATTCTAATATTTCATCTTTATTCGCTGCTACAGCAACATGTAATGGTGTATGGTCTTGATGATCAGTGGCATTAGGATTACAATAATTATTATCAATGAGATACTTCAATACATTCAAGTGACCCCTCTCTACTGATATGTGAACTGCTCCAGACCCTTCATCATCAGTAGCCGATAGATTACACTTCTTACTAATAAGATATTTAATAACTTCTAACTGATTGAAGTACACTGCAGTAAGGAATGGAGTATGACCATGTCCTCTGACAAGTAGTTCAAGTGATGATGGTACGTGTTTTATAATGTACTGGATCAAGTTCAATCTTCCATTACTACATGCTAAGTGAATAGGAGCCATTTCTTTATCATTCACAGCACACAGATCTAACTGATGATTCTCTACCAGATGTTTGAGTATAGGAAGAGAGTCACTGTACTGACAGGTAGTGTGAAGAACTGTTGATCCATTAGAAGTCTTAGCTGCTACATTACACTGAGGAAGACTAGTGAGATAAAGTACAACAGGAACATGGCCTCCTTCACATGCTCTATGAAGAACTGTACTACCAGTATCAGTAGTAGTGGCATTAACATCACACTGATACTTGTTGATCAGTTCCTGTAGACAATGTAGCTTACCTCCATAAGCAGCTGAATGAGCTAGTGTGTACTTGTTATTGCTAAAGTGATTAGTAATATCTACACTATACTCCTGACTGTACCATTCCAGTATATGAGTATGACCATTGCCTACTGCTGAATGTAGTACTGAAAAACCATATTTATCAGTAGCTAAAGGCTCAAGTTTATACTGTTGCATTAGTAATTGTACTAGATCAAGATTACCTGAGAAACAGGCAAATGTGACACATGTACTGTCACGTGTATCCTTAGCATTGACATCACATTTCATATCATTTATTAGAAATGTGACCAATTGAATATTACCACTATTACAGGCACAATGCAATGGTATCCTACCCTCATTGTCAGTAGAGTGTAGTAAACTAATGTATTGAGGATACTGACTGGTGATATGCTTGATAAAGTGAGTGTGACCTTTTAATGATGAAAAATGAATAACATTCCAACCGTTGCTATCTGTTAGGCTCAGACTACACTTGTAATCCTTCACATACAATTCCAGTAGTAAAATATCACCAGATTGAGCAGCATAATGAATTGGTAGCTTACCATTACTGTCAGCTTGATGAGGATCTAACTGACTGGTAGTTATTAATTCATAAACAAGAAATAAGTTAAGAGACGACGAGGCATAGTGTAAAGCAGTGAGACCATTCTCATCAACTACAGTAGGAGACAAACCTTGTTTAGTAATAAGATACCAAACTAAATCAAAGTTACCACTCTGTGCAGCATGATGTACTAAAGTGCACCCTTCATTATCTGTTTTATTAATATCACAATGCTGTACCTCAATGAGATATTGAGTGATATCAATATGACCATTACGACAAGAATGATGAAGACTTGTCATACCATCATTATCAGTGATATTAGGATCACTGTTATGATTATTAATAAGATATTTAACAGAATTAATACTACCTGACCAGCAGGAGTAGGCTAATAGTCTGTGACCATAAGTATAATCAGTATCATTAGCATTGAGATTATACTGAGATATGATATAACTTAATACACTAGTAGAACCTGACCAGGCAGCATAATGTACTGGAGACATACCATCATAATTATCTAATGTACAATTGATACTATATTCTTCTAATGCTTTCATTAGTAATGTACTGCGACTCCATGATGCATAATGAAGTAAAGACATACCATGATTTGTTGTGGCATTGATGTCAAAGTTAGGGCAAGTGCTAGCTTTTTTGAGAAGTGAAGAAAAGATTTTAACTCTTTCATTTTGTTTGATAAAATCAATATTTGTTTTTATTTTAGTATTATTAATAATATCAATAGCTGATGCATCACTTGGTGCCATAAGCTTACTATACACAATACCAGCTGGAATATGTATAGCTGCATCACATGCATGATGTAAACATGACCTACCATAATTATCATTAACTAATAATGCTTCATTACCTTGAATACTAACAATATACTCAACAACTGATGATGAAGCAAACCATGAAGCAATATGAAGTGGAGTCCTGTCATATTTAGGATCTTTTACATCAATGGCAGATAATTGATATTGATTTAAAAGATACTTAAAAAGCTCAATACTTTTATTATTCATAGAATAACAAGTATAATGTAGTATACCAGCCCCTGAATTTGTTATGTCATTTGGTGAGAAGAGGTTTAATGATTCAAGCTTGTGGACTAATGCTAACTCTCCACTTACACAAGCTAACAATGATAATGAAGCACTTATGCTATTAATCTGAGAAACATTACAGTTTCTCTCAATGAAGAATTCCACTACGTCAGAATGGCCACCCATTGCTGAGTACAGTAATGCAGTATTATTGCTACTGTCTGTTTGATCAGGAGGAATGTGACATGTGTCTACTAGATATTGTACTATAGATAAGTGGCCTTTATAAGATGCCATATGTATACTAGATACACTATTATCATCACCTTCATTAGGATCAATACCATATTGACGAATGAGTAGTTGGAGGATCTCAATGTGTCCACCATATGATGCAGAGTGTAATGGGGTCCAACCATGAAGATCATGGTGATAGTTACTGTGATCAAACTTATCAAGAAGCCATTGTACTTCATCTTTTAATCCTCTCCAAGCTGCTTCATGTAATGGTGTACTGGTATTCTCATACCATAATGGATCACATATGTCTATAAATGAAGAATCTATATAAAAGTCCTCTTTAATGATGCAATCACCATATAACTGATTTATTTTGTATGGACTAATTTTTTTGTAGGCTCAAATCCCCAATCCACTAAAATTAATTCAACTAAATTTTATTATCATCAATAAAAAATTTTTAAAACACAAATTTATTCCAACAAAAATTTAAACTATGAAATTTGAAGCCACAAAATAAACCAGCTATGCAGTATTTTTCAAACACACAAATACACACACTCATTAAAGCCTGGTATACACTTGCCACAAAACACAATGCAAAATTTAAAATTTGGCCAAATTTATCAGCTTCAAAGTGTTATTTGCATCAATAGATGAGATTTCCCACGCAATTTATGCTTTTATGTTCACTGTAAATCTACCAAAATTATTTATGCCATATAGTTGTTACTTTTGTAAAGCAAAACTGAGGTACACACATAGAGCAAAACTAAATTTTCCCTTTTCCTAGCACCACACCTTAAGGTGGATTCATAATAATTATTTGTGTTGCAACCATGGAAGTGCTAATAGAGTAACCAATAATTACATATAAGCTACATGTCCATGCTATACACAAGTTATGTATAGATGCATGGAGGAACTAAAGGTCAGTTCATGTACTTACCAATATCAGTAGATGAGTGCTTAACCTCTTCTATTAAGAACTGTAAAATTAATAATGATATCATGAAAATTGTATTTACACAATATAATCACAAACCTCTTTTAAGTTGTATTTATATTTACCACATGTTAGTTCAGTGATACCAATACTAGCTAACTGTTGCTTAAGCTTTGTAGTTAGAGGAAATAATAAAGAATAAAGATAGTCAGGAATGAGGTATTCTAAGATGACAGAACCAGGACGAACTCGAAGAAAGTAAAAATTATAATGAGGAATGTCACATCCTTTTGGTATTGCATTACGAAAGAAAAAAAGGTCATCCAGTGTGTAGTCATTACGCTCAACTTTAGCAATCATTACTCGTGTACCAGGAGGAACATCTGTTATACCAAACTGTACAGCATCAACATCTTTCAATAGTCCACCACTGTTTATAAAATAATCCTTTAACTTCTCTTTATATGACAACCAGGTTCTCTTTAATGTACGATTGTCACTCAGGAACACGTGAACTAGTCTTGCTATCAATTCATAGTTGAACCATGATACATACTTGTACTCTAAGGTTGAGAAAAGATCTGTCATTGTTTTAATGTCATTGAACTCTTCTCTAACTGCTTGTGCTGCAGCTGGATTATTAGACCTGATAGGACCCAACAAAGTATGAACACGTCTCCTAAGATAGTCAATGATTTTAGGAACAAGTGCTGCTGGCTCATTCAGGAAGGATTCCATTGTCAGTTGTAGTGCATCAGCAAACTCATCCCGTAGCTCATGTATCTTTTTTGATAGGGGGTAATTTTTTTCATGACAATCAGCATATGCTGCAAACGTTTCTGGGAAGAAAAAAATTGCAAAAAGGTAGTACCGTATAGCTCCAAATTTTCATCAGTAAAAAATTTTGTCAAATTCATCAGGTATTTTTGCTTGACAATAATTTTAACTCACAAAATTTTTATCCCACGTGGGCAGTATGCGGATTAATAACAAAAATGACAAAAAATTTTATTGATGAAAATTAATTTTGACAAGAAATAAAAATTTTGACGAAATTTTTGGCTGACAAAAATTTGGATCTATATAGTATAATAATTACTTGACCTCATATTAATTGGCTGTCATATAAATTGTTCAGTCATTTGAATCACTTCAGGCTCATTAAATGAATGTCACTTCATTTTAATCTGGGCCATACACATACATCTATGTCCCCTTAATATTATATTAATTTTTGATTCTGTGCTTTAAAAGGCAATGAATCAAACTATATTTACCTCCTGAATTATTTGATGTTCCACTTCCTGGTGACATTGCTTCTCCAAAAGGAGAGATATCCTTTGGCCTTCCTATTGATATACGGTAATCATGATTATACTAAATTTGGCAATCTTTTATGTACCTGTTGAGCTGGAAGAATGAGGTGACATTCCTTTATCATGAATAACATTAGCAGGACCATCCGTAGAATAAGGAGTAGCTCCTCCAGTAGTAGCCGGTAGAGGGTGTTCACGAGCTATTTCATCAGCTAACGACGAATTTCCTCCTCCTTTTTTAACAGCTACACACAGCATTCTCCAACAAGGAACACCATGAGATGCATAATTATAATCTTTTTTTAACCAATACTCTAGAACTTTCTGCAGGCACGTCTCAGTATCTCCACGATGATCTGACTCTATTTTGTTGATAGTATCTATCCTGATACACCAGGAAATTGCAATATGCCTCCAGCGAGGTGAAAGCTGCTCAATTTTCTCATAAATATCATGAAAGTCATTGATGTCTGCAATATATCGTTAAACGGTCAAATATACACACAAACTCACTTAGTTCTTTATCACAAACGTTTATAAAAGGAGCAGAGGAAGAAGAGCTTGCCATTGTTTGTTGCTGCGATCTCGTTTCAAACTTCAGGGGTGTCGCTCAGCCGGTTGTGGCATAGATTTTATAACTACGTAGTTATAAAATCTATGGTTAACCACATGCGGCACTGCGTGCCTACTGCCTAGTGGAGCAGGACAGCAGGTTACAGCATAGATAATACAAACACTGCTTGTAACTTTGTAGTAACAGCATTCCTCTACTTTCTTCTCTTTTTACTGACATCATGTACCTTCATGATCAATGGTGTCTCATCCAGTCTAGTTCATCCTGTACAGTAGACAGTACATCATCTGGTCCTACTCATCATTTTTGTTTGCCGCCACCAGCATTTATGCACTACAGGTATTAAAAGCAATGAATCATGGGCTTCATCTCTATCATGCAGCATGATAGAGATAATGACCATGATTCATTGCTTTTAATAGTGCATATTCTGTACTGACTCAAGTCAATATCATGCTTTTGATTGCCACCATTACACTCAAAATAGCCTGTTCAGTTTTCTTTTTTTTAGCTGTCTGCACTTTTTAGCAGATGCTTTGCCTCTTAAGTTAGGCATTGGTTGTAATTAAATACTATATGCACAGTATTATTATATAAATCAACCAGGTGTTAAATGCTGAATTTCATAAGAGCTATAATACTAACACTCATTATGATGGCACAGATACTGTTTTGATAGATTTTATTTACCTAAAGGGATCATGCATGAGACAGCAAAAAATTATGCATCAAGAAATGCAAGCAGCTAATGTAAAATTGCCAATTTAATTTTTGAATTAAATTTTAAATTATTTTTCTACTTACAAGTGGTTAATGATCACAATACTGCTGTCTAGATATACTTAAAAGAGTCTATATAGTACTGTATATCTATATGTTAACACTCATCTATGCAGCAAGTCCAAAAATTTGGTGTGATCTTGGAGGCAAAATTGGCTGAAACCATAGATATGCTGAAACATGCTACATTGCATGACAATATCAAAATAGCTTTATTAGCTCTGAACATTTATAAAGTAATAATTAAACAAGTACATGTACTTTAAACTAATGTGAAAAAACAAGATATCTATCTATATAAAGTGTTTAAGTGATGGCTTTATGTACTTCATAGTTTTTAATCTTTCTCTTTTGATATTTAACTATAACAAGAAAATAATAATAATAATAATAATAATAATAGTAATGCACTTCCATGTAGGTTTCCAGCATACCTAAGTTTCTGAACTATTAGTCACAGGATTGCCCTCAACCTATCATTATCAAAAGTATCATCATTATTGTAATAAGAAATATTGAAATACCTCATCAGATATGCCATTTATCTTAGCACCATTGCCTCTACAGTAACAATAACAGAACATCATTAACACGATATTGAGTTTAACATGAAATTAACACGATATTAATCACTCACTCATCTGTCATAGGTTGATGCCATGATTTAGCTAATTCATCATCTCTTGTCTACAATAAAATAATAAATAATAATAAAATACACAAATCTAATAATTAAATGTACATGTACATGTATATTTACATTTCCAAGTTTCTCTTTCTCTTCCTCTTCACACTGAGATAAACTGATGCCATGCAAGACAGTAGAGGCTGGCTTTTTGGGTGACTATAATTAATATAATTATTATATAGTTAAAATTAAAAATAATCTCACTATTGGTAGAGGTTTCCATTCAACTGGTAGATCACTAAAAATAGATAAATAAATAAATAAATGAATGAATAATGAAGACATACTCCTGTTCTTTTAGTAGCTGATAGTAGGACAATTCGTTGAATAAAATTTCGCTAACATCCACCAACAAATCTTCCCCGATATCACCCAACCTTTAAATAATAACAACAACAATAACAACAACAACAACAACAACAATACCTTTTATTGATGTACTTTCCTATGGCAGAACTCAAACTGATTTCAATTTGTTTCAGGAACATATTCTTTAACTGTCCACCGCCACTTTCATCTTCATTAAGCTATGGAACACACAAAAATCAATAATGACACTAGACTATAACACTAAAAACCTCCTTGTCGCTCTTGATAACAATGTTCAATATGGACTCCTGGATATACTGCAATAGCTCGACATTACAAATTGTATTCAAATGATCCTTCAGCAAAGGAATAACTTCCTATATAAAAATTATTAATACGTAAAATATTGAGGTAGGGGAGTAATTATAATAATTATATATACTTACAGTCATTATTATCTTAATTTTATCATCCATTAAGCTGTTTATGTCACTGGATCCACCAGATACCATCACATTCAATGGATCAACAACCACCACATTATGTAATGGCTCTTCCATGTCTTCATTGTTGCTACAGGAGCATTGCTTTAATAATTAAGAGACTCGTATGAGGACTAGTTACTTGTTATTATTATTAGGAGGAGGAGGAGGAGTGGAGAGTGAACTGGCTGAATCAACTTTCTCAACATAATCAAATCTATTTTTAAAACAAATATATAACACAGCAACAGAATAATAAATAAACTACTTTGCACTGTTGCTTCGTTTGCTTGCCTTCCCCTAATAAACAAATAAAATAAAATAAATAAATAAAAGATTGATATTACTTGATTGACTTCAGTTAAGAATCGACTGGTAATATCCTGTATAGCATACAACCCTCTCTGTCTTAAATAATCAGTGTTCAGTAGCTGCAATTTACCAAATAACTCTATCTATAAAATTATAAATAGATATATTGAGACAGGCTCTATTAATGGAGGAGAAATGGCCTCCATTTCTTTCTCTCTATCTCTTCCTTTACCAGATAGTGTGGTCTTTCTTCATTTTGAGCGATGAGAGCTGCAACCTCAGAATAAATGACATCTCTCAGTCCTTCAAATTGAACTCTACAAACAACAACAACAAACAAACAAACAAACAAATAAATATTATAAAACTATAATTATATACTAACTGTTTTCCTGATGCACTAACAGATGGGGGCACATCTAAATAATAAAAATAAATAATAAAAAGGCAAATACATTGTAAACCTTGTTGTTTAAATAATGGAGTGTACTGTAGGTGAGGATTGGTGGGTCGGGCGAACGGGCTAAAGGGAGTAGCACCTGCATATTGATTCATGGGAGGGAATGGAGCCGGGGGAGGAGGGATAACACCTTCCTATTAATAAATAAATAAATAAACAAATAATAATTAAATAATAACCTGAAAGCTACTGTTAGCAGTAGTCTCATTTTCCTCTTTAAGAGTAGAGCTGTTCATGTGACCTGGTGACACGTGATATTATTAATAACTATTAATTAACTACTAGTTAGTAACCTGTAGCTTCACTGCATACTTGCCAGTAAGCATTATTGAGGTACTCATTATAACCCTAACAATAAAGAATTTATTATTTTGGTAGTTATTATTATTATTTTATAATTAATATCATTGTTATAATAGATTTATTATTATTATTACTATTACTATTATTATTACTAATAGCAGAATTTAATATAGATACCTGTAAATAGCTATGGTATTGCTGTAACTGGCTCATTTGTTCCTGTATGTAAGGAAGTGAGTCCAGCCTTTGATGTAATGTATTCAACAATAAAGACTGCTGGTCCATCAACTGGCCACACATATCAGTGCTCTTTCTAAGCTGATCTCTTAAAAACTCATCCTATGATAAAAATTAATAATAATATTCATTAATAATTATTAATTAAAATACCTGGCTATTAGTATTATCATTGGCCATGGTTGGTTGGGGGAGTTTTGAAGAGTGTTTGTGAACGCTGTAGTTAAACAACTGACCATCATTAGTCTTAGCTTTGTTCTCTATAAATAAAAATGATAGTATCATAATAACTGAGAACAACGGCAATGAATTAACCGATTGTTGCTGTTGACTGCTCAATTTCGTCCTCACTGGATCCACCCCATGTACCAGCAGTAGTATCAACAACTCCACTGATAATAATAATAAATTAATAATAATAATAATAATAATAATAATAATAATAATAATAATAATAATAATAATAATAATAAATGATACAGTAACACTTATAGAATACATGTACATGTACCTTTCCTGATCTGATCCTCGACTTAGTTTTTCAATATCCTACGAAATGAAACAAAATTATGATTTCATGCTCAAATTTAAAGCAAATTAGGCAATGACCATGGGCTATATATAGTCCATGCTTTTTTAAGTGGCACCAAATCACCCCCATTTTTGTTCATTGATGTCCTAGAAAGCTTGATATACCTTTTGCAGTTGCTGCAGTTGAGATGTCTTCTTCAATAAAGTAGTATAAAGCTGCTTTTGACGTATTAGCTCGTTTTCAAGTTTCCTTTGGATACTAACATCTCCCACTTTATCACTAGTTAAACTCTAGGAATATCCAATACATGTAACTGTAACTACAAAATGTAATTCTTTTTATTCACCTGTAATTCATTGAGCATTTTTTCCAAGTTCTTTAATTCGTTTCTTTTTCTCTTTAGCTCTTCATTGGCACTAACTATAGATAATAATAATTATACATCAGTAGTATCATGGATCAACAATCACATCAAAGCAGACCAATATAGTTTATTTTCACGGTGAAATATTTTCGTAAATTTCGCAGTTTTTTGCTCCCTTGTGATATTTGCCCACTGCATATTCTGAATCTCCACTGTACTGCCACATGGTGCAGTCTGCAAGCTATTCATGAAAATTAAACCTGCAAAATCTTTAAAATGCAAGATTCGCGAAAATTTTCTACCGCAAAAATAAACCAGCTAGTATACGGTATTTGGAAATACATAATTATTGGTACCTTCTGGTCCACTGGCAGCTCTCTTTATTGGGTCAGTCCCAGTCCCAGGGCCGGGGGTAGCTTTGAGGTTAGGGGCACTCTCAATCTTCAATAGTTGATCATGCATGCTCCTTAGGTTACTTTTGACATCATCAAATACTCTAATAACAATAATGTTAAGTAATAAGTATAATAATATTCACTAGTATTTATGATTACTTTGTTTTTTCGCTAGTATCTTCAGGCTCTACTCGTTCTGATGTTCCATCAGCATCAGAAACACTCACAGGTACTATATCACCTTCACCACCACTATCTATAAATAAATAATTTATTATTATTGTTATTATTATTGTGAATGATTATATACTTTTTATTGATTGTATTTGTAATAACAACTTCTCCACTTGAGCCCTCTTTTCTTTCATTTCATCCAGTTGTTGGATGATATCCAACTCCTCAATATTCACTGATGTCTCTTCTTCTATCTCCTCTTCCTTCTGTGATGTAGTGGTAGTGTTAAGACTCTCCTTCTCTATCATAACTGCAGCCAGCCTTTCCTCTGCCTCTTTCTTCATCGATAATAACTGCGCCTGCTTAGCATGCAACAACTCCATCTAAACAACAACAATAATAACAATTATAATATATATATATATATATATATATATATATATATATATATATATATGCAACCTGTTGTTGCTGTTCAAGAAGTTTTTTTAATAATTGATGCTGCTCTTGTAGCGCTAGCAAATCGAATTCTTCATCGTCATCGTCAACTAGCTCTTCTCCTTCCTCTTCCTCCTCCTCCTAACATTTATAATAATAATTGTATACACATACATGTATATTAACAGGGTTTCGTCAGGAAATTTTTGAAGTTGCTCAAAAATCGGGCCAAAGTCCCTGTACTATATAGTACAGGGTCTTAGGACAAATTTCGCCAAAAATGACTAAGAGAAAATTCTCCATTTTTATTACATTTTCTGATGCATATACATGTACTTATGTTGTGTAGCAAGTTTGAGTTGATTCTGGTCAAAATTGGATTTTTAATGAATTTTAGAAGTTGCTCCAAAATCGGACAAAAGTCCTTAGGCCAAATTTTGCCAAAAATGACTAAGAGAGAATTCTCTATTTTTATTACATTTTCTGATGCATATATATGTACTTATGTTGTGTAGCAAGTTTGAGTTGATTCCGATCAAAATTGGATTTTTTATGATTTTTAGAAGTTGCTCCAAAATCGGACAAAAGTCCCTGTACTATAGTACAGGGTCTTAGACCAAATTTTGCCAAAAATGACTAAGAGAGAATTCTCCATTTTTATTACATTTTCTGATGTACATACATGTACTTATGTTGTGTAGCAAGTTTGAGTTGATTCCGATCAAAATTGGATTTTTTATGAATTTTAGAAGTTGCTCCAAAATTGGACAAAAGTCCCTGTACTATAGTACAGGGTCTTAGGACAAATTTCACCAAAAATGACTAAGAAAGAATTCTCCATTTTTATTACATTTTCTGATGCATATACATGTACTTATGTTGTGTAGCAAGTTTGAGTTGATTCCGATCAAAATTGGATTTTTTATGAATTTTCAAAGTTACTAAAAAGGATTATGCTATTAAAAGCTTATCAGCTTATGAAACGTGTTCTAGTAGGCCACTTAGCATCCTTTGTGGGATTGTGGGAAACCCTGTACTAGTGTATATGTAGTAACATTTACATTGTAATGCGTGTTAATACTTACTTTATTTATTTCATCACGCAAACTCAGACTTTCATTTTCTTTAGAGATCTCTTCATCAACATCGTCATCATCTTCATCATTATCTTCCTAATAAGGAAAGAATTAAAAATCAATATTCGTTAAAAATAATAATAGCGGCTTACCATGACTTTTAATAAAACTTGCAGATAATTCAATTCTTGTGTTTTTAGCTGTCTTATTAACTCAGATACCCTCTCCATTTGCTCCTCATTGTCAGACTGATCCTGTAATTGCTCATAAAGCTCTTCAGCATCTTCTATGTAGCCCTATTAATATTCATTACCATTAATTAATTAATCAATTAATTAAGTACCCTGACAGTATCCAGTCTAGACAATAAAGCGCTGACAGATACCTATACATATTAACTAATTAACACAATTATTATTATTGTACTATTATTATTATCGTTAGATCTAGAAATAAATTTTAGAAGACATAGGCTAAATATGCTTACCGAATTATTAATCTCTTGATTAGTATCATCATCGTCAATTATTTCTTCAGTGGGTGCTTCTTCAGTGGGTGCAGCTGCCTTTGTGTTCAGTGGTTGTGACTCCGCCATCCTCGCTGAAATCAATTCGCTGCTTAATAGTCTCAAAAGAATCATGAGATTTGTTTAGTCTTGAGAGTGGATCGGTACGAGACAC